TCCTGGATTGGGAAGTGTTTCGCTAAGAAGGACCTCAGAGAGGATGCCTATATTTTGGGAATAACGATAGTGGGAAACAGAAGTAAAAGACTAAAAGGACTTAGTCAAAATACTTACTTTGATAAGGTACTAAATCATTTCAGTATGGAGAATTACAAGAAAGGGGAGTTACCAATCCAAAGTAATGCCAAGTTGAGTAACACTCAAAGTTCGAGTACCGAAGTCAAGATAGAAGAGATGAGCCAAGTACCTTATGCTTCCGCAGTTGGCTCAATCATGTATGCTATGGCTTGTACTCGCCCTGATGTGGTCTTCACTTTGAGCATGGTCAGTAGATATCAAGGGACCCTGGCAAAGTACATTGGACCGCAATCAAGAATATTCTTAAGTACCTTTGGAGGACCAAGGAATGGTTTCTAGTCCTTGGTGGGAGTGATGACTTACAGGTGCGATGGTACAGTGACACCAGTTTTCAGACTAACAGAGATAACTACCATTCGCAGTCGGGCTGGGTCTTTACCCTAAATGGAGGAGCAGTGACTTGGAAAATTTCCAAGTAGGAGACCGTAGCTGATTCAACATGAGAATCAGAATACATTGCGGCGAGTGAAGCCTCAAAGGAGGTGATATGGTTGAAGAACTTAATTGGAGACCTTGGAGTTGTGAAATCCATATAGGAGCCTATGAAAATTTTCTGTGATAATGAAGGAGCGGTTGCCTTGACCAAGGAACCAAGGGATCATGGCAGATCTCGACATATTGACAGAAAATATCACTATCGGGTAGAAGAAGGACTCCTCGTAGTGAAGAGGGTATCGTCGGAGGATAACCCAGTTGATCCACTTCCGAAGGGACTGAGTTGGGTTAAGCACTTACAGCACGCTAGGAGCATTGGGCTAAAGGACGATATACGTTTAGATTAGATAGTTAGAAACGTGTAATAGATAAATTGTAATTAATATTCGATGATTAAATAAATGGATATTATTCATGAGTAAAGTTACTGTCTTAAGTCAATTATTTACCTATTGTTTCATTTTGCATGTTTTGACTTCCTGAATAATAAAATTATTCGAATAGTCCATATTCGTTCATATGTTGGAAGTAGGTATGAAAGAAGATTGTCATGAATTGGTGTGTAGATTGTCTAAAGTGTATTAGACATAACAAAGGTTTCCTACAACGTTCATGAGTGCTTATGAATAAAGATGTGAGCATTGGAATAAACTCACGCGTGCTGGAATCGCTTCATGGAATTTATCACGAGTGATCGCAAGACGATAATATCATATGATCTTAAAACCTAGATATATGGATTATTTTTTGCTAATTGGTTGTGCATTGATAATGCGTAAACGCATCAGTAACTTGTTTTTATAAAATGCATTGTTGTGTATGATTTGATTAGTGAACAGTAGATGCATATATGTTGAAGTTTATATGTTCCTTTTATTCTAATAGGGTAAAAGTGATATCAGGGCCCCTCGATGATTTGGTTTGACTTATGTGTCAGGCCATGTCAGGACTGGATTGATGTGTTCAATTAAGTTCTATGTCAGATGAATCAGAGATCGAGAAAGAAAATTGTTGGACAATAAGTGTGACTATGCTCCATGTAATTATCCACACGATATCTAGAACAGAGGACTATACGATCCCTTATCTGAAGGACAGGTTATTGATGAGATCAGAGTTCGACAGTGTCTTTGTGAGCTACGATTGCTAATCGGATTGTATTTGCATTTATAGTTACTAGACTTATCCAAGTGGGAGACTATTGGATTTGTGTCTAAGCTCGTAACTATATTTGGTAAGTACTTGACTCGGTTGTGCATGATCCTTTTGGGTTACCTTCACCAGAGCAACTTGACAGTGTGATTTATATAGAAAGAGGTTATTATGGTTTATTAATATATGAATAATATATTAAAAGAGAAATCATATAGTTTAATTTATATTAGACAATAATTAATTGAGAATTAATTTTGTGACTAAAAGACATTAATTAAATAAAGGGGACTTAAATTGTCAAATGTGTGATAGTTGAATATTGGGCTGAGAAGGCTTATGGACTAGGCATGGAAGAAATTAGGGATGTGTCTGTCCTAATTTCGGCCATAAGGGCCCTATTCCAGAAGCTACCTTGGATTGCTTAAGGCATAAGTTGTCCATTAGGGTTTTGACTGAAACCCTAGCAGCACCAGTATAAATAAGACCCCAAGGCATCCAATTTTCAGCCACTTGAAACCCTAGAGACTTCATAGTCGAAATGGTGCCTCTCCCCTCTCTCCAATATCATCCTCTTGCTTGTGTGGTGTTCGTAAGCCATTAAAGGAGTGACATTTGTGACAGTAAGCTCCAAGACAAAAAGATTTAAGCCATTGTTGAAGAGTTAATCATCTAGATCTATTTTCTTATGATATTTTTGAAATATGTATGCTAGATCTAGGGTTCCTAAGTCTTGGATGAATTGCATGTACAATAGAGAAACCTAGATTCAAGCTTTAGGGTTTGCATGAGCACATAGGATGTTATTTTGTGTAAAACCCATCAGTTATGCCGCCTGACATCACGCTTGTCAGTCACACTTTTTCAGGCGACTTTTCAGGGAAATGAACCAACTTATAACTGGCTTTCTCTCTCTAGCCATACCCTATTTAAGGGTAAAATGACAATTTCTTTACTCACCACTTTCAAAATCTCTCAAGCAAAACCCTCTTTCTCTCAAACACTGTTCATCTTCTTCATCTTCATCCCTGGCTGTTTCGTCTGAAACTCCATCCGTGGCTGACCAAATTTCTTCATCGAGGCTAATAAACATCAAATCCAACCAAAATCTCATCTTGGACCTCGATAAATCCAAATTCGTTGTCTCTCTCCAGCCAATGATTGAGTGCCTTCATCACTCTCCGTTAGCACCAACTCTTACCATGGCAAAGAATGTCCCCTTGTCTCATCTATCCAAGGCTTTCTCAACTGCAAGTTACCAATAACATGAGTCTATGATTAATTTTTAGATCGACTCTCACAAAACCACAATTTCTAAGTCCTGATTCAGTCGATTGCTAGGTTTTTCTCATGCTAGGGATCTGGTTGATCTGGATTCAACTTCTTCCTCTGTAATTCTGGAGATGTTTTACTAGATGGTTTATGTAGGAAATCTCGCCAATTTATCAAAGTTCAAGAAGCCCAACCTTCCTCTGATATGGAATGGCCTTTTTACCCTTTTAATCAAAAGCTTTTCAGAGCGGGTCACAAGGTCGGATAGTGCAAGTAAGATTTTTTGTACTATCATCTACGACTTATATCATGGAATCAACCTTGATTATGGTTCCATCCTTTGGGCGCAACTAGTTCAGAGCACTCTTTCCACAACAAGGCACTCGGAAATCTCTTGTGCTCGATTCTGGTTTGTCATTGTCCAAAGGGTCATTACTCGACTCAACGTTCCGGTGGTCGCAGGGTCTATCATCGTAGCTATTCTGATATTTCACACTTCGAACTTCAGTGTGTCTGATCCTATGAAGTACACCTTTATTGGATCAATTCCGGAGGTGGTGCTCGATTATGTTCCAACAGACAACGAGCTTATTAACACGTATCGAAAGAAACCTGTATCTGGTCCTCGTCCTCTAACACCTGATATCCGAACGGATTTAGAGGAAGAAAACAAGCCTAAAAAGGGATGTAAGTAAAAGGCGAAGGCCAGACCTTCTGAACCAGCTTAAACTCTGAAGAAGAAAGTCAAAAAGGCTGCTCGGAAGCCTAGGTCTCCTTCTCCAATTGTCGAGGAGGATTCAGAGTCTCATATTGTTTATGATGTTCGGAGAACAGAGCAAGTCCAGCACGAAAGTGAAGATACAGCTGCAAATTCGCAACCAATGGTCTCGAAACCAACTGCTACTCAACCTAATCTAGAGGTAACTTTTTCGATGCCCACCTTTGTTCCTTTAACATAAGATTTCTTTCAGGGTCTTACTCCTCCATCTTCTCCAAATCACACCTCTACTCAAACTACAACACCTATCACCATTGTTCCATGCCCAAATGTTTCTATTGGTGTTTTGCAACCCCAGATATACATTGCTCATCAACCCCACTCTATACAGATTCTACAACAACAACCACAACCACCACGAGTACACCGTCAATAACTGTCAACATATTTGATACGGGGTAGGTGTTTCTGGTGTTACTTTTGGTCTTGATTTCACTCCCATCTCACCCCTAACCATGATGATCCAAATATGGTTTTTGGTGATTCCCGCGATGATTTTCAAGACTTCCACTACAGTCCATTCAATGTTCAACTATAAAATGATGAAGAAGACGCACCTACGATGAAGGGGCAATTCAAAGCTCTCAATGCCAAGTTGGATACTCTGCTCGAGTCCTCTAAATCTTTGTCTAGTAGTGAATATTCGCATGAGTCTTACAAAGACTTATCTAAGACTTTAACAAAGGAGCATGCTACAAATCTGGCTAAATCCAACAAGGTTATGGAAGATTCTGAGAAAACCTATTAGGCTACGACCAAAAAAGTCGAAAAATTACTTTATGATGCTACAAAATTTATGGATGATTTCCGAAGCTCATTAGAAAGGAATACTGAAGTCGTAAACAAGGCTATCACGAGTCTCGGAACCTCTCTTCAAATATAAAGAGATGCTCTCTCAAAGGTTCAAGCTGAACTCAAAATCGACAATGTAGAGCTGAATGCTTCTATTGTTTCCAAACTCAAGAAGCTTCAAGAAGATCTTACGATCAAAAATAAGATCATAGATAAGCTAGTTGTGAAGACTGAAAATGTGAAGGTTCTTTTAATTTATCTTGAAAATGCCAATCAACAGCTTGATGTATTAAAGTCCGAAAAAGTTGTTATCAAAAGTTGTGTCGCAGATGTTAACCTCTTTTTTCAAAATCTAGTGGAGACTCATGACTCGATGCTCACAGTATCAGTATGCTAACATCTCATAGAAAAGCTCAAACCCGTTTTCTCCATGCTCAATCGCATAGAAGGTGTTTCGGAGTCTGGCTTACTTCCAAAACAAGGGGGAGAATTCACGAAAACAGTTGACAGTGGTTCTGGTGAAAATGAAACAAAGCCTCCACTGAAATCAAAAGATCTGAAGGGTAATGAAGCTTTTGGATCCAAAGGAAAATGGAAGCTAGTTGATGAAGAAGAAGAAGAAGAAGATTTATCAGAAGGAGCTCAACTTAAAAGAAAGAAACGTGATCAAGATCTTGATGAGAATCTACGAGTTTCCAGAGAAGCTAAAGCTCTCGAACGAGAGGCTCGTGATGCTTAACTCACACGCAAAACTCAAAAGTCTCTCTTCCCTCCTTGGACCATGGAGCGGATTCTAAATGAATTTGGATATAATCCAAGTGTTTATTGGTTGGAGCCTGTTATATCGTTTGACTTCGACAACTCCTCAGATTTGCAGCTTGACTTTCCTATTACTCTGAAGGCTTTCCTGTTTTGTAGTTTTGAAAAGATTGAGAAAGCTCCCATTACATACTATAACCCCAATCATTCGCTTTTCTTTTTCTATCTCAAGCATGGGAAGCCTCAGTACCAAACTTGGAGTTCAAAGAAATTTTCTGCAATTAAAGTTATTGGTCTAATTGAAACCGAAAGTTTTATCAGTGTTCATTTCAAAGCAGTTCGAGGATCAAGGAATTCAGTCTTTGAGTTCACACTCGCTGACTTACCATGTTTAAATCTGTATGATTGTATTTCCTTGTTTTCTCTTTTGTCAAAGGATGCATAGAAATTGACTTGATTTTGGATCGTTTGAAAAGAATGTTAGTTTCCTACATTCTTGTGATTGGGAAAATGGATGTGGAAATAGTTGTAGTGCTTAGAAAGAAACCCACCATGCAACCTAAAGAGACTCTGAAGGACCTTGACAAGATGCAAAATAGAAGAATTATGGAGGATAATTGGAGTATGGCGTACCAACAACGAGATAAGACTAGTTTGAATATTCAGAGATGTTGTTTCTGCTTGCCTAACAAGCATCCTTATTCCACTTCATGTCTGGATTACGTTTTGAGGTTAGCTAAAGCTTGCAAAGAAAATGATGTTGCTGACAAAAAGTGCTTTGCATACATGATTAAGTGGTACATCACAGTTCGCAACACCTTGCTTGGATTAATGACAAAACTTTTCAAGGTTTAGAAGTGAATTCAATAGTAAAGAATCTTCCTTCCTTGTTGACACAAAGGGGGAGATTTTTGGGGTATTTATTGTGTTGTGTCATTTTATTATGTATCTATTTAGTATTTATTATTATTGGATTGGGCATGTCCATCCGTCATTATGGTGCTAGGGTTAGACTATAAATATATCATGCATGTATCGTTTTAGGGTTAATGTTTCAAGTTTCCCTAAGTATCTTTACAAAAAAGTTCTAATCAAACTCTTCTAAGATATTGATAATAAAGCATTTAGCACCCTTTTCAATGATATTCAATCTTTGTTCTTATTGTTTGATTCCTTTAAACTGTTTTGAATCTATCGATCATTATTTTTTTGTTTCTACATATACCACTATAGTCAATGTAAGATACTAGTCGGATTAGGCAATATATAAGCAAAGTTTTAAAGGCTAATAACTATATATGATTGCTTTTGAAGGAATTCGGTATGGTGGAAAGAAATATGAGGCAGGATAGGTCGTCCTCTCCCGACATCAGACAATATGTAAATGTGTCGATTTCTAGTGGTTATCATGTTGATGATCATTAATATGCCAATTACCCAAGACACGACTCAATATTGGCAACGATCTTGAAAATGGCAGGGCTGGCCTCGAATTTTTAGGGGTAATGAGACTAAGTAACAAAGTGCCATCATAATCAAGTTAATGATTGTCTTCAAACATTACCATGATGTGAACAATATAAAACATAGGCAAAATCCGATCGATAAAAGTTGTAATGATTTCATAGTCCACAAGGATACTGTTGAAGTACAAGATATTGCTTATTTGTAGTGCTTTCAACATCATTCAACTTATTTATGTTATCTTTTAATTTGTGAAGGTACTCGTTAATATAAGAGGTGGCTATTATGGTCAATTTATTGAAGTCATATTTAAGAATGGCTACATGATACCTTTTATTATTATATAACATACTCTTGATATGAATCCACGTATTAATTACATTGTATTCAAGTTCAAAGGCATAGAAGATGAAATTGTCAGAGAGAGAGAGAGAGAGAGAGAGAGAGAGAGAGAGACTACATTAAATGGGCATCATCTAAGTCTATTGTTCAAAATTGGAGTCGATGGTGTACCATTAATATGATGCAATGCTTTATAGTCTTAGACATTAAACTTAAAAAGCTTAATTGGGGATGTGAATGTGACCATTTTCCCATCAAGAACATGGACCTTGATGTTGAAACAATAAAAAGATGAAGAAGAAGTGACTAATATGAGAGCATTATCACGGATTACGAAGGTTATTAGAGCTTAGTTTGTAGTTATA